AAACTTTATGCAGAACCACTGGTTTTTGACAAAATCGTTTTTTTTTTGTTTTCGTAATTCAAAAATACTATATATAATATAATATAATAATAATAATTTTTTACATATACTACGCACCTTTAAATAACATTTTTTACAATATATAGGTATACAGACTAATACAGTCTACGTTAAACTTTCTTAAGCTCGTGAGATAAAAATATGTGACTAAATTTCTAATACCTGTAAATATTAATATAGGTATAAGATATACCTAAAAGCGATATTATAATTACCATGTGCGATGTGTGCAAACGATCACCCGAAGCAAATGCCCTATAATAGCTTCTATAGGATCCAACTTTAATAACGGTAAATTACTAGTTTAGATAGGTAGGTATATCTAGTAATATACAAATGTTTGTACGTCTCGTGTTACTCACCTCATTGCAAATTTGTGTCATGTAATGGCTTGAATTATTATTTTAAACAAAAGAGCAATGATAAATCATTGAATGTATAGAAACCGGTTCTGTTTGTAGGAAAATCTTGCTATACCCAAAAATTGTTTTGAAATTTAAAAAACTAAACTATAGAACAAAACACTAGTTTTCAATAATTATAAATGGAAGAATTTTCAGTCCATTTTTATTATATTTTTTTAAAAAGTGAGTTCACGTGACACTTCGTCTAGGGCGTCAATATTGAATATACACCTACTAATTTTATTATAATTTAGGAAATAGCTGGAATATGTTATATAACATATTATACATATTATTATTTACTATTCGTTTTATTTTTATATTATATGCAATAATATAAACATAATAATATTAAAACACAATTGCGTAGTATAGGTATACTCAGAGCTTTGCCAAGGGGGTGGCAAAAGTTGTAATATTTTGAAGGGCGGCAGATGCTTAAATATTATGCATGTAGCCAGTGGCGTGGTGAATGGGGTTTTATGACGCCTAGGCGTCATGGTGAATTTTTTTTTTTTGGGGTGGGGTGGTTGGGTACATTATGGTAACCAATAACATACAACAAAAAATTAAAATATTTACAGTTCCATAATAATTATATGTATTATATATTATATTAAGGGGATAAAGAAGGGGTAGGTACTGAAATATATGCTGGGCATCAAGGTTTATATATAAATGTTCACCACGCCACTGCATGTAGCATTGTAGCATATTTAATAGGAGTGCCAGATATTATTGCCCTAGGACGGAAATGAAAGTTAGCACGGCACCTATACAACTATGCAATATTGTATTGGTAGTTGTGTATAATAATATATTATATAGTAAATAATAAATATTATCCACATATATGGTGTATAATGTATATTACAATAATGTACATGCGATGCAAATTCTTGCTATATAAACTGTAGATAGTACCTAGCTGCGGTACCTTATATACTGTTATACAGATTCAATAAGTTAATATATTTATTGATATGATATCGAGGACAAAATATAATATATTATACCTTATTGGCTATCGCGTATATTTAACAATTATATGTAGTAACAACTGACAACTATAGTAGACAACAGTATACTATACATTGTATACTATGTATATTATATATATATGTATAGTGATAGTGGCCAAGTGGCTTTCATTATAATATTCAGCATGCACTATTTTAGTTTATAGTAACCGAACGAATGCGATCTGACGAGGTGGTATAAAAAGCGAATAGTTTTCAACTTGACGATTTATCCGGCGATTATTTTTTTTATAAATACATATAATATATAAGTGCATATATTTTATAATTTACGATCCTGAGACATTTTCATCCTTATGTGGCAATCAGTGCCGTAGACAGGAATTTTATATGGGGGGGGGGGTTTATTATAATAATAACATGTTATAGTACTGTTACATGCAACAGTAGCTTTTCTGATAGGAAAGTGAATCTAGTTGGTACTTTGGGGGGTCAAAAGTAAAAATTTCCCAGTAGTTTTCACAAGCGCCGGGAAAAACAACATAAAAATTATGGAAGAACGGGAATTTTTACGCTAAATCGGTTTTCCGAAAAATCGATTTTGGTTTTTAGTGTAACTCTAAAACAAAAAAACGTATATACATGAAATTTTCACTGGTTGTTTATATTTGCATTTTCTATACACGATAACATTTTCAAAATATTTTGATTTACTTTGAACTGTTTAGGCACATTTTTATTTTCCATTTTTTTTTAGTTTTTTTTCTAAAAATATCAATAAAATTTTATTTGTTGTTTGCGAAAGCTTGAAAATTTAATAGAAGGCTCCTAGTATATTGTTTCAAAGGCAGATGAAAAATATTAAAAATCCTTAGTCACAATTTTTTTTTATAAGCATTTAAAGTTCAAAAATTGACAAAATATGGAAAAATCATGAAAATTAGCAAATTATTTTGAGTTAAGAATTCGTAAAAATTTTTCTTCTTAAATCTAAGATTTGAAAATGTAATACAAGATTCCTCATAAGATTATCTACATTTATCAAAAAAAAAATGTCTATAAGAAAGTCAAATTAAATTTTTAAGAGCGTTTGAAATTCAAATTTTTACAACATTGGATATTCACTCGATTTCTCATGTAGCGATTTCCTTATTTTGTTGTAATACAAAAGCGAATAACTGTAGATACATGAAAATTTCACTGAATGTTTATATTAGAATTTCCTATACACCATACAATTTTGAAAATATTTTGACTCTTTTTCAGCTGTTTGACTGATATTTCAAAGTCTAACATCTGAGGCAATCTCTATTTAAAAATATAATTATAGTTAAAAAAATGAACATTAAAATTGAATTTAAGGCATTCATTACTTGAGCTTCTTTGAACATTTTTTTAAATTCATGATCTACATTTTCCCTTAAATTGTCAAGAACCTTGATACTGATATTGGCCAAACTGATCATTTCTCTCAAATCTATGTTTTTTTTTAGCACGGTTTTAACTTTTAAAGTTTTAACTATAATACTTATAATACCTTATTAATATGTTATCTTAAATTTCAGTATTATCAACATAAACATATAATAAGATTATCAATTATCACAGTAACAAAACGGTTTTGGTAATGGTGATTTGTCATTGCGACCATTGGACGATACACAAAATACCTTACTTATAACCCTTAACAACACAAACATCTAAAATATTATTAATAACTATTATTGATAAAATTTTTTTTTTAATATATAAGATATATTAGTAGTTTTAAATATTTGAAATAAATTTATAAACTTTCCAAGGGGGGGTTTGAACCCCCTAACCCCCCCCCCCCCGTGTCTACGGCCCTGGTGGCAATATGTACGAATGTGTAAAGCGCACGCGCGTGTTGTTTATACGTTTGGGATTTCAGCTGTCGCGACTCGCGAGACTAGGGATTGTATTATTATTACGTTGCCGTCGTCTCATGGGTGTCGTATATATATTGCAGTGCTCAAATTGGAAAAATAAAAGAATGGGGGACTACTTCATACTTGAACAAAATTAGCGTGACTTGATATTATTGAACTCAACCTATAACAGCCCCCTACATTCGACAACCATTGAGCATAAAATAAATAATATTATTACAATATTATACGAGCATGCCAATTGCCAGTTACGACTATACTTTTGACCAATAATATTATATAACGATAATATTTACATTAAAAATAAATTTAGTTGGTTTCTTTCCGTATTAATGAAAATAATTAATAAGCATAATATCGTGCTCACCAAATACTATTAAAAAAAATTTGAGCACTTCTTATACATCAACATCACCCAATAATTTCTATTCAGACAAATGAAAAAAAAAATATTAATAAAACCTTATAGCTTATTTGTTCACGTACCTACAATCTACATGGTTAAAACCGAGATCTACCTGTCCCAATGTCCCTGAGGAGTACGATGAGTACAGTGGCGCCGAACACGGGTATCAATTGGGGAAAATTTCCCAGAACTATTTATGGGTGATATTGTTATTGTATATTATGTATAAGCCTTTAGTGGTATTTAATATTTAAAGGCAGTATATATCGTGATCATAATGCACTATTCGAGAGTAGCTAAACATTTTTAATTTTTTTTAAGTAGGTGGGTCTAACACCAGCATTTTTTTCCCCATAAAATGAAATATAGATCGGCGCCACTGGATGGGTATAATTATAATATTTTAATATTATGTAACATCATATTATAATAATATAATATTATATATATATAGCTGTAGGTAGGTACCTCACCTAGGTACCTATATTATAATAAATTGTGATGTGTTTGTGACGGACGCACGCGTTTAATCGAACCGTCGACGTTATAATAACGTTGTCATCGTGAGGTACACGCACAATATAATAACATTTAAGTAGGTACCTATAGGAGTGAAATAATGAAAATCTCGTCTGCCATAATAATAAAAATAATAATACACAACAATGGGAAGGACTGAAAATTTTTATATTACCGCGCGCGAAACGTCGTCGGTGCGGTGGGCATTGCTGGCGGATAGTGTGGAGGAGGGATGGTCGGAGAACCAGTCGCCGCCGCCGTTGTGGTCGACGCGTCACCGTCGTTGCCCGCGACGGTGCGGCGGTCCACCGTCGAGTGCCGACGACGGCGACGACGACCACGACCACGTCGGCGACGGTGTGTCAGTACGTTCGTGCGATTCGGACACGCATCAACCGTGCCGTTTCAGTGTCAGTATTATACTCGTGCGTCGTACCGCGTGCACTCGCATTCGTCTGTATAATATCATTATTATTTCTAGATAGTTTTCTTTCCCGCTTTCGTTAATAATAATATCGTTTCGGTAATATTATCCGGACGTGAAAAAAAACCTACCTCAATCGCAACAAACGGCGTGGATCGGGATCGAGTGATTTTCGCGATCACATGCCCTGCACCCTATATCGGCGGTACCGAATATCCTATTCCTGTTAGATCACCGCTATGTGATAAACGTGCAGTGCATCGAGCGGCGCTGCAGCGTACGGACGATGAGTCGCCGATGGCCACCTCGACAGACACGGAACACCGCGACCACCACCACGACGACCACCGGAACCACAACCACCACCACTACGGCCGTCCGGTGCTCCCGCGGCCGCAGCAGCAGCAGCACCACTATGCGTACAAGACCGTGGCCAAGAAACAACGGTCGTCGTCGGCCGGCGGCAAGAAGAAATCCACCGGAAACCGCAGGCGGCGTCTGACGCACGTGTTGGCCGGCATCGTTCTTGGCCTGTTTTTCGGTTACACGTTCGGCGGATCGTACGGCCGATTCCGGTTGTACGCCGGTTGCGGCGGAGGCGGTAGCGATGGCAGCAGGCACGGCGTGCTGCGACCTCTGCAGCCGCTGCAGCAATCGTCGCAGGCCCACGACGACGACGACAGCGGAGCGAGACCCGCGGCCGGACATGCAGGGGGAGCCGGAGGTCCGCCCGAATCGCTGCTGTTCGTCGGCGTGATGACGGCCAACCGGTACTTGGCCACCAGGGCGGCCGCAGTCCACGGCACGTGGGCGCGTCGTGTGCCCGGCCGCGTCATGTTCTACAGCTCGGAAACGTCAGTCCTTCCACCAGGTGTGGCCGACCTGCCGCTCGTCCGGTTGCCGACGGTGGACGACTCGTACCCGCCGCAGAAGAAGTCGTTTCTGATGCTGCAGCACATGTGGGACAACTATGGTGGCGCGTACGAGTGGTTCATGCGGGCCGACGACGACGTGTACGTGCGTCCCGACCGGCTGGCCGCGCTGCTCCGGTCCGTCGACAGCCGCAAACCGGTGTTCATCGGACAGGCTGGCCGGGGGAACCAGGAGGAGTTCGGTCTGCTCAGCCTCGAGTATGACGAGAACTTCTGCATGGGTGGTCCTGGCGTTATCATGAGCCGCGAGACCCTGGCCAGGGTGGTGCCGCACATCAAACACTGCCTGAAGAACCTGTTTACCACGCACGAGGACGTCGAGCTTGGCCGGTGTGTGCAAAAGTACGCGGGAGTGTCTTGCACGTGGTCCTATGAGGTAAATTGTTATTTTATAATTATTCGCAACGATCGCTGCATTGTTGTTCCAATATTTTTATATGGGATAAATAACAAAAGATGACAGCAGTACGGTTAAAAATTACAATACATAAAACAAAAGGAAAATAAAGAATACGCTAAGTATACATATTTTTATGTTTGCACATTTATAGTGTCCAAGTCAAGAGTTCCCGTCGTTAATATTGTATTATTCCACTATGAAATTTCTTCTTATTGGAACAATCGTTCGGGATATGTTTGATTGTTTGATTTTCGTTATCACAATCACGCGAGGGGTTGTCTCTCATTTTCCATTTGACCATCAGCTGATCCAAAATTCTGCCGTCAAACGGTTTAGTGTGGTCCATTTCTGTCTTGGTAAGCCGAAACCTGCCAGCTACTTGTCAGGGTTAGGTATCTAGTTACTATATATTATATTATTATCCAACTTCGCACATTTCCAGTTTTCTGCTCACATATCTTTACGCATTAAAATTGTCCTGCCAAAAAATCCCACAATAATCGTCTATATTGTAATGCACATCGTCTTCTACCAATACTGGTCATATGTAGAGCCTATATATCGTAGCTACATATGGTCATTGGTCACACTTTCGAATAAAATAAATTAAATCGATTTCCTGACCTCAAGCTCCGCGTTAACCCTCCCACTATATGTAGGGAGAACAAGACTCGCCTCATTTCGCAAATGTACTTCAATCGCTGTTTCTTGCTATGCCGAGATGTATTATAATATCGAGATCCTGACATCCTGTACGTTATAATATTATTATACTTTATTGTTACCGCGATGTAGGTATATTATGGTCTATGAATATCGTCCGCTCGGTTTACGTAAACGAACACGCGAGCCGCGAGCCTATGTATAGTACCTATGTATATTATAGAGCAGCGGTGGTTGCGTGCGTTCAAATTGTATGAAGGATTTTTACCAATTACAGAGATAAGTTCATTCTCCGCAGCACCACTATAGTTTTGTGTATTTTTTCGTCTCGAAACGACGTTTAAATGAAGGCACCCATCTTCGTGCCTCGAAAACATTTGTACGCCCTATTATATGCATTTAAATATAGCCTAAGAGGTGATGTATAACGACGGAATTCGTCAATTATTTACTGTGCTCAACATAATAATATCAAGTTCATACGATACATTTTGGTTGCGTCATATATTATAGTTAAAAACTGGTTTTTTGGTCACATTCGATTTCCACGAGAGTTAATACAATGCATACCTATACAATTATATATTATGTTACACGTATTTTTTGGTTTTTATCTCGTGGTTCTTGATTATAAAAACGTAGTTGCTCTTCGTCTAATTCAATTTTGTTAGTATTTATAAGTTTGTGTTAAACATACTCTTGTGGTATAGTCAGGGATTGCATGCGAGAGTAAACCATTCTTTATTGGCTGATTATTTTAGATTTTGAGCAGACTGATCAGCAACAAATGTATTGATTTGACAATCATGATTCATGATGTGTTTTTTTTTTTAAATATCTGTGTCTTCTTAAACTTTGAGGGTGGTTTTTTTACGATATAATACATTGTTAAATTTTTTTAGTAAGAAAAAAACTTGAAAAAGTAATATATACTTAGGTAGTATCAATTTATAAGAATATCGAATATTTATATAGGCACAATTTTTTTATAAGCGCTTGAAGTTTAAATTTTTCATCGGAATCGAAGACATTGGAAACTGTTTTGTAGTAATAAATGAATACAATTTTTGATATTAATACTCAAAGCTTGAAAATATAATTCAAAATTCCTCATAGGCTATAGCTAAGTTTTTCTTATAGAAATCAAAAAATATTGTAAATGAATAATGTGCCACATATTTATTTATAGGCGTTTAAAGTACCTATAAACATTTTGACGAAATGTGGATATAACGAATTTGTCAAACGATTTTGAATATTATAAATTAACAATAATAATATCATATTATAAATTATAATAATTTATTAATAATATGTAATATAGGCAATATGCACCAATTTTGGAAATATATTAGTTTAACATAATTACATATTATTACTAATATAAAAACGAATTATAAAATATCATTATAAATTTAGAAATAGTGGCTTGCATACCGTCTCAGAGATTCAGATTCGTTTTTCGTATGCAATGATTATCGTTGATTTCAAATTGAAACATCCATTATGCAGTGACCTACTCAATAGCGATTAACACTCGAAATCTATATACATTAAAGCAAGACGGGTTATCTATTTTTTTTTTTTTTGATATTAATCAATCACATTTTGTAAAATCTATATCAGCTTCCTGTCAAAGTTAACTATATCTAACCAAAATAATTATACTTATCAGTTATCTTTAACTATTTGAGATAACAAAAATGTGATGTTTACCGCTCCTCTTTAGAAATCCGGCTCCGGAACTGTAACACAGTTGACTGATTATTTTATGAACGTTTAAAAATAATATATTTTCCGCTTTTCATTTCGCAATAATTGAAGTAATATTCTATACGTCATACAAAGTACCTACCTCGTAATCATATTTAAAAATGAATTACTGTTTCATTCAAAGAATCTTAATAAAATACGATAATCAAAAACTTTAAATTAAATAGCAATATGTACCAAATTACAACAGTCCAATATATTTAGACAACGATTGGGATGATAAATAGCTATTTTTTTGGCACATGACAATCAGTTTTGCTGAAAACTAATGTCAAATTTTGAAGTCTTCTAGGAACTGGCATAGAAATATTTTTAGCCATTATTATTTCCAAAGGAAAATAACAATGGTTAAGTTAAATTTGCGGTTTTCGTCTTAACGTGTCTAACGTGTCTATGTTAATCCCGATAATTCACTTGTGGTAATTTCCCATTGGTCATATAATTATAATATCTGTAAAGTGGAATAATAATTGAAATTCCAGTTAAATATTTAAGTTACCCGCTGTATAATAAATACTAAGGTACATCCTAGGTGAATTCGAAGGGAATGCATCAATTCTCAAACACGGTGGTGCCATTAAAAAATTAATGACAGAAAGAAGGTTTATCCAGAAATTGGAACATACACATTTTATGATCAAATAATATATATTAATAAGTAAACATGCACAGTGAACTGCACAGCTGGTACCTGTTTCATTCAATATTGTTTTATCTGTGTATTTGATTTTTCTCTCAAAAACATTAAGGTCGTTTTCCTATTCAGACGTAAATTTCAATAATAATCAACAGATTAGTCAACAGAATTAACAACCTTTGAACATATTTTTAGTTATTTATCTAAATTAGATAAAAAAACACGTTAAAATAATATATTAATATTAATACCTACTGATTACTGATAGTAAGATTTAATTTTGATGAATATAATAATATTATTTACCCGAAAATTATGTAAAAATGTTTTCAAAGATGATAACGAAGTTTTCGATTTATTTATCGACGTAAATATTAAATTTAGTTACGGACACGTCTTATGTGACATGCCACATGCGTGGTTATCTTGGGCCAAATCGATTAAATTATGCATCATTATATTTATTTTTTATTTCCTTGTGATTTATTTAGACCTTATTATGGATGTAATAAAATATGGTCAAACACCGTATAATACATTAACAAATAATATGTTTGTGTTAAATAAATAATGTTAACTATGTACCTATGGAATCTAGTATCTAAGTACAAAATATGCATTACTTATCTAAATAGAATTTACATAAAACAAATATCTTTTTAATTAAAGCTATAATATACACAGATGTTTGAACAACTAAATGAATTGATATTTAAATGGAAAGTAAGTACAAAAATAATTTACTATTATGTAGCTATACTATTAAGTACCTATATAGCCAGAGAAAAACCGACATAAAAAATAAAAATGGTATTTATCCTCGTACATTAGTAGTATCGGAAAGTATATAATATATATATATATATGTCTAATATGTCTTATTGATATTTATTATAATTTATTCATAGGATATTATTGGTATAATATCCCTCATGAAGTCATTTCAGTTTAAGTTTAATTTACTTTTCGTCATCTCCTATTTGCTACTAAGCTGTCGAAGATCACAGCTCAATGAATTTCAAAAACCATTCATATTACAATATATTATATTATAAATAAATATGTCAATTTTAATATATTATCCTAATATCATGGGTATGTACATTGTACGCATCGTGAAATGTTATTTAATTCGAAACCTTGATGGCTTGATATCACAATAATTGGTCTAAATTATAAAATGATGGCATCTAGTTTAAGAGGTGATAATTCTTTAATAAATTAATTCTAGTAACTATTAAAAGTAATAAAGTATTAATTGAATATATTTAGACATTAGACGTATACGTATAGGTATGAACAATACCGGATGATAAATAATGGTATTTACCTACGTACATTATAATACTATTATAGGTAATTGTTTCGGCTCATAGTGCATTAATAGATATTATAATATATTAAAAAAATATAAAATTTAATAATATTATAAAACAATCAAATCTAAAAGTCAACAGATATTAGTTTGGAAAAGTTTTGAATTTCATTTCCAGCCGTTTTTTATAATTTTGTTTCACTTTACAGCAGTCTTAAAATAATATAGCACTCACAGCAGTAGTGATAATATTATAATGTCTATATTATTACTTTTATTATCGATAAAACTAATATTGACGTTTCCTGAACAATTCGTAATAGCCGCTATAGCACATGTTCACATCTTTGTCTGTTTTTCGGAGATTGTAGTAAAGTAATACAATTTGTCCATTACGTGCGCAATGTAATTTGGTGCAGTGTATAACTGGATAATTAATAATTATTATTTTTTAAATAAAAATAAATTTAATAACCATAAAATAAATTCCAGCATGGTATATTATTATGGACTATGGTATAGCTTGGAAATATATTAGGTAAACAATATTGATAAATAATATTTATACTTCAGTTTTTATATAGTAAATTCTAAATATTTAGTATTAGAGCTATTGACTCTTTAAATTCTTTCAATATTATAATATTTAAAAACTAAAATACTATTCAACTA